GTTTTTCTCTCCCTCCCAGATCCGGAACCTCAAAGCCCTCAGCAGCCTTTGCAAGCCACAATTTCCTCAGAGTGGGAAGGAAGGAAGGACCAGCAGGGATCCATCCTGCGGTGCCAGAAATGATCCCGTGAAGGAAGAGGCCCCTGGAGACACACACCCCCCCAGTCCCTGGAGCCCTTTGGAGTTGCTCTGCCGGAGAGAGGAAGGATGGAGACAGCCCCTTTGGCCAAGGAGGGGAGCAGAAAAGGCCCCGCAGCTCTTCAGCCTGTGAGCTGTGGGGAGAGCCGGACAAGAACCTGGCAGAAGGTCCTGCAGGAGGGAACCATCCTCCCTTCAGAAGTTCCACACTGGACCTCCTTCCAATATCGGGAGGCTGAGGGTCCCCGAGGACTTTGCAACCGACTCCATGACTTGTGCAGGCGATGGCTGAGCCCAGGAAAGCGCAGCAAAGTCCAGATGCTGGACCTGGTGGTTCTGGAGCAGTTCCTGACTCTCCTCTCCCCAGAGATGGAGTGCTGGGTGCGGGAGTGTGGAGCAGAGAGCAGCTCCCAGGCGGTGGCCCTGGCGGAAGGCTTCCTCCTGAGCCAGGCGGAGGAGCAGAAGGAGCAGCTCCAGAGGCAGGTGGGAGACTTTAGGGAGCTCAGAAGGGAATAAATAGAGTGCTTGAATGCTTCACCCCTCCTTCCAAAATTTCTCCCACGTTCACAATATGTGACAATTCTCTAGTTGTTGTAGAACATTGTTCCATTGTTTTCTCACTCAGCCACATTGATGGATATTGGGGCTTTGAGGTTGTGTTCCAAATATAAGAATCCACTTTATGTCATGTTAATTTTGCTTCTTTTTTCCTTCTTCCCATTTGAAATGCTGCTCTGTGGAGATCAAAGATTCTGAGGGAAAAAAGAACCCATCAAATCCCCCTCAGGAGTTACTTTTCAGGAAGATCCCTTGGGAAGATCCAAGTCAGGACACCTCAGGAGGTAATGGAAGATCCTCCGATTCCCCATCAGTCTTGCCTTCCCTCTCTCTTCTCCCCTTTGGAATACCTCCTCTTATTTTGTTAATTATGTATTTTGAAATTATTTATTCCTTACAGAGAAACAAAGAATGAAACTTTCTGGTTTTTATGACGGAGAGCAAACAGCTGTTGAACCTCCAAATCAAGTAAGAAAGGGAAAAGATATTAGATTTCTATTCTCCCTTTAGAAAATGAAGCAGGCGTGTAAGCCTGCTGGTTTACCAGGAGGCCGTTTGGCTGAGGCACAGATAGGACAGCTAGCCACATAAGTCTCAGTCCTTTTTCAAGGTAGGCCACCAAAATTGCCTTTTAACCAAGTGTAAGGTTTTCATGAATCCAAAATGTCCAGCAGCTTTAGAGTCATGAGCTTGCTGCAATATTTGGTTTCTCAGCTTTCCTGGCACATATAATTTGGCCCCCACCCATGCCAATCCATCTCTAACCATACAGAGATGGATTGAGTGAGCAAGGAACCAATCATCAAGTTTTAGAGTGTCTTTTAATTGTGCATTTAAATCATTTGATAAATCAACTTCCTTCTTTTTCTGGACTCCACTGGTAACCACTGGAGCTGCCAACTGTTTGGTTGGGACAATAGGCCATACCACTTCTTGGTGAGCACTGTTATATTGAGGTAATTTAGATAGAGCATCCGCCATAAAGTTCTTTCCCCCTGGGATGTACTTCAATGAAAAATTAAAGCACTTAAAGTACTGTGCCCAGCGAATTTGTTTGGGAGACAGGCGTTTTTGAAAGCCAAGGCGTTTTTGAAAGCCTCTAAATTTTTATGATCCGTCCACACCTCAAATAGGTGTTTTGCCCCTTCTAAGAAATGCCTCCAGGTTAACAGAACCCAGCGAACTGCAAAAGCTTCTTTTTCCCAGATGGCCCATCTTTTGGTTTCAGTTAGTTTTCGGGAAGTATATGCACATGGTTGCAGAGTCCCCGTCTCGTTTGCTTGTAGTAACACCACTCCGACTGCTACGTCACTTGCATCGGCTTGGATTACAAAAGGAGCGTCCATGTCCGGGTGCTTGAGTACTGGTTCAGCAGCAAACAGTCGTTTCAGCTTCTCAAAAGCGGCTTGACATTCCATGGACCACTCCAGTGGTTTACTAGGCTTCGGTTTCACCTCCCCTTTGGTTTTTAGGAGATTTGTGATAGGCATTGCAATCTTTGCAAAAGCAGGGATAAATTGACGGTAAAAATTAGCAAATCCCAAGAAACTTTGAAGTTGCTTCCTGGTGCGGGGAGGGGCCCATTCCAAGATGGCACGAACTTTCCCCGGATCCATTTCTATGCCATCATATGATATGCGATAGCCTAAATAGTCAATTTTTTCCTGATGGAATTCACACTTGGACAATTTTGCATACAGCTCAGCAGCTCGAAGTTTTTCCAGAACTGACCGCACTAGTTTCACATGTTCATCACGAGTTTCCGTGTAGATAAGAATATCATCAAGATAAACCAACACCCCTTTGTATAAATGTTCATGCAACACCTGATTGATCATTTGCATGAATACTGAAGGGGCCCCCTGTAGGCCAAATGGAAGAACATTGAATTGGAAACAACCCATTGGGCAGTTAAAAGCAGTTTTCCATTCATCCCCTTCCTTAATTCAAACTCAGTAGTATGCTTCTCTCAGGTCGAGTTTCGTAAAAAAATTCCCTTTGGCCAAGTGGGCCAACATATCCTTCATCAAGGGGAGGGGGTACACGTTCTCCACCCAAATAGCGTTGAGGTTTCTATAGTCCACACATAAACGAAGAGAGCCATCTTCTCACGGAACAATACTGGGGCTGCTACCCGGGGTCTAGCAGGTTGGATGAAACCACATTCCAAATTTCTATCAATAAATGACCACAGCTCTTCTAGCTCCCGTGGTGTCATAGAGTACAGTTTCGGTTTTGGGAGTTTCACTCCTGGCAAAATTTCAATGCTGCAATCTGTTGAGCGATGGGGGGAAAGCTTGTCCGAGGCCTTTTCACTGAATACCTCCTTTAAGTCCCAATATTCCTCCGGAATTTTCTCCTTGCCCTTCAGACTCTCGGTGCCAGTGGAAGCCAGCTCAGTGGGATTCTTGAGTTTCAGTTGAGATTGCCCCTCCCCTTCTGGGCATTGGTCAGTACGTATGCGCAATGGGTTCCATTTCCGGAGCCAGGGCAAACCCAGTATTAGGGGGCGCTCCATCCCAGGAGCCACAATAAAACACAAAGTCTCTCTTTGCTTTCCCATCGTCATTTCTACTGGTTCCGTTATGAAATGTGCAGGGCCGCCCCCAGCTACCGATCCAATTGGCAAAACGTTATGGGCGTTTTTAAAGTCTTTAGCCTTAAGCCCATTTTCTCTACTACCTCCTAGCTGATTACGCACCTTGTGCACCCAGAGTCTAACAAGGCCAGCATTTCCCCTTTGGCTCCCGACGTGGGTACCCTTAATCTCACTGGAATGGTCATAGGGCCCTTTTTGGACTTACCAGTGAGTCGTCTTCCGATTCGGATTCACTCTCTTCAGAAGAGTTGGAGTTCCCAGCTCTTCTCCTTTTGGAGGGGCGATCTCTACAACCTCCTCCACTTTAAGCACCGTTTCGTGAGGCTTTGCTGGGGTTTTTTCAGGTTTTCTTCCTCTTCCTGGCACCCCCTTTGGCTCTAGCTTGGCATGGCAGTCTGCAGCCCGGTGACCTTCCTTCCCACATCGGAAGCATGCAGTGGTCTTGGGTTTTGCCGCCATTCCTCCCTTTTGAGGTTTTAAGGCTTTAAGGCTTCTCGAGGGCTGGTGGAGGAGGACTTGCTCCAACCAGGACCCCCCCCCCCCATGTCTGTTTCAGGTCAGATCAATTTCCACCTCTGCTGCCAGCATGTACCACAGCTGCAGCTCACTGGGGTCTCTTCTGGCAATACAGCTTTGATATACATCTTCATTCAACCCATCTTTAAAAGCTTTTATCAGGGCTCCCTGGGACCAGCCTTGAATATGACATGCCAGCTCTCTAAATTCCGCCCCTGATTTATGGTCTTCATCCTAATTCTGGCCTTACATTCAGCAAGTGGGTCTTCAAACCTGGCCCGCAGCACAGTCATGAACAGGTCATAATTCATCAGCTGAGAGGCATTATCATTATGCAAAGTCACCATCCACTTTGCTGCTGTTCCCTCCAGAGCCCTTGTAACACATCTAACTTTGGCTGCTTCTGAGGAAAAATCCTCTCCATATTCCTCCATATGGCTCCAGGCTTGTGCTAGGAAGAATCCTAACTCCTTGGGATCCCCCTCATATTTTACTTCCAACAGAGGCACCTTTGGAGTTTTATGCCTCCTGGAAATTACTCCCCCCACCCGGCTGGGGGCCCCTGGGCTGCTGCTGCCTGTTGCGCCAGCCCAGGTTGATTTATGGGGGTGGCTGCTCTGATTCTTCTGGATGGGGCTGCCTCCCCCTCCTCTCCCTCATACCTTTGATCAGTTTGAGGTTCTCCGATAGCTTCATTTAAAAGATGCATGGCTTGAGTTAGTAAAAAACTCTTTCTTTGCTTCTCTTGCCATGGCTCCTCTCTTCCACGCCAACGGGTAGTGGTCACTCCTGAAGGAGGCTTTTCCTCAGGATCCTTCCAGCTGACTTTCAGGGACCATTTGGATTTTACAGCTGGTTTTTCGCCAAGACTTAATTCTGCTAACAAGTCGGCTTCCCCTGCTGCCTCTAACAGCAGGGAATCTTGTCCTCCAGTCACTCCCAGGTCTTCTTGATCGCTGGCTGGATTTGACATTTTGTTCAGACCCCCTCGGAAGAAAATTTATTCTCCGAGTGGTCTGGTAACGTGGAGATTCAGAATAATGTCAGCTGGTGCTCCATTCAAAATCCAAGAAAGAAATACTTAGACTCCATTAATCAGAGAAAAGATATCTTTTACTGGAAATCAAGTGGTAGCAACAACAAAGAATTCTGAATCTGAGAAAATGGGCGCGTAAATCACATATACAAAGTAATGGCAACGTTCCCACTCCAAATAGTTCAATTGGTTCATCCAATTAAAAGTTGTGTATATCATCATGTGAGCATCTCCAGAGGGTGATGAGGCCTCTGTCTGTTGACCTTGACATATTTTGATAGAGTTGCAGCTGCGCATAGCATAAGATGGAAGCCTAAGCAAGAATCTACCCCCCCAGCTTATACAGTTCTGTTTTGTAACACCTCCAGCTCACTTCCCATAACCAGATCCCCCCTCCTCCCCCCATTACTTATGACAGCTGAAAGATGCAAAGCAAAGGGAGAAAACCTTGAAGGCTGACACTTCATGTCATCTTGATTCTATCCCTCTTAATGCAGCCTACGATTCTGTTGGAGTTTTTTTGGGCAACTGAAGCATATTGCTGACTCATGTTTCAGTGGTTGTCCACTAGGACTCCAAGATCCCTGTTGCACTTACTACTGTGTAGCCAGGTATCACCTATAATATGCTAGCGTGTTTGTTTTTTTCTTTCCTAAATATAGAACCTTATATTTCTGACTGTTGATTTCATTTTGTTGATTGGGGCCCAATCTGTCAATCCTTCTGTATCTCGAGCTTATCTTCTAGAGTGTTGGTATTCCTGTCAACTTGGTCTTGTCTGCAAATTTGATGGGTTCCCCTTCTATCCTCTTGTCTAAATCAATGATGAAGATGAACAGATCTTGCAAATCCTCCTCTTTTGTTCTTTTTTCCGTGTCCAGGAGGGTCTTGTGTCCTTTGAGGAGGTGGCTGTGTATTTCTCTGAGGAGGAATGGTCTCAGCTGGATCCTGACCAGAAAGTGTTGCATTCAGAAGTCATGCTTGAAAACCATAGGAACGTGGTCTCTCTGGGTAAGAGTTTTCTAGTCCCTAATCAAAGAGTTCAAGAAGAGAGATTATAGTTAGCTTTTTTATTAAAAAACCAATAATCAGATATTGTCTCCTGGGAGGGAGAAGGAAAGGATCTGGCCTTGTCAAGCTCCATGGCAGGAAAGAGTCAATGTCTCTTTGCTTGGATTCTTTCTCTGCCATTTCTTATCTGTATTTTTCCATTTCTATTTGAACTTATATGTGGAGGCTGAAAAGAACGAGGTGTGCTTTTATGTGTCCTCTGGAGGTCTTGTGAGGGGAGTGTGTTGTCATTTGTCCTCTGGAACCTCCCTAAATTGTGAGAACAGAACTTTCATGCTCAGCCCATGGAAGAGCATTCTCCCAATCCAATTCAAAAACAAAGAACTCATGCAGTGTGACTCAGAGCATCCTAGGATACAAGTAATCCCCAAGTTATGACAGTTCACTTAGCAACCGTTCCAAGTTATGACCAGCCCTCCTCCAGTATTTGAGACCCAGTCCCCTCTTTGTTTTCAAAGACTTTTTACCTGGATCTCATGAATTCCTCAGTTCTTAAAAGAACACAGGCCTAAAATACTGCAGTGCGAGATCACACAAGATTAGATCACACCAGATTAGTAGCCTGAGATCTTGCACTATTGATCTTATGTGATCTCGTACTAAAGTACTTTTGCCTCCGTTCTCTGACAAACAACGCCTGTACCAGATATGGCCAACGAGCCCTTGCAAGCCGATGAGACTTTGGGGCAGTGAAATAGCCATTCTTGAAGCATCCCAACCTTTCCAGTTTCAGCACAAAGCATTTACAAGCCAATGGGATGTTTCAGCAAGGGATTTATCTCCAAAGTCTCATCGCTGGGATTGAGGAATAGGCCGAGCGGGGCTCCTGCCCACCAGACAGACGCCATGGAGCAGCTGCTCCAAGGTACATCAGGGAAGAAGAAGCTTGTTTCAAAATTGTTTCATTTCTCACAGGTCTCTGCTGAAATTAAGCCACCCTAATAAAACTTAAGTTTTCTCCTCTTTGGATGTTTCCCCCGATTATTCCTTAACTCAAAACTGACTCTGAGTGAGATTTGCATATATAGAGATAAATATAAGAAAGGAGATGTTTTCTAGATATTTTCAAAGCTTTCATGACTCATGAATATAGAAATCATCATGTCTATATCACACCACTGTAAGCTTGCAAACGTACAACGTAATGGAATTTTGGAGAAATTCAGAAGGAAATTCACTTTACTTTCTACACTTTGATCTTTTTCTCTAACCTTGTTATCATTTTCATTTCTGTGTAGGTAATAATGGACAGGAAAATCAAGATTCCTGTGAACTGTTCCAAGTGATCAGTGCTAAAGATGGAACGGAGAAGTTTGGAATTCGAATGGAATTCGAAAGCCATGAGAGAAATCAGTCAAAGAATTGGAATCAGGAAAGCTCATCTTCCACTGATGCTCCGATGCAAGACTTTATTGCACAACAAGAGAAAATAAGGAAAAAATATACTGGAAAAAGTGTGAAGCTAATCAAAGCTGAAGTACAAGTAAATGAACACAATTTAACCCAAAACGAAGGAGAAAATGCTATAAGAAGACCCAACGGACAAAATTACAATGGGACATTAATTCTTTCTCTTGGGAATAACTTTCTTATATCTCAAAAAGCGATTGACCCAAAAGAGAAGCCTTATAAATGTTTGGAATGTGGAAAATGTTTTAGAACAAACAGGGAACTTACTTTCCATGAAAGGATCCACACAGGGGAGAAGATGTATAAATGCATGGAGTGTGGAAAGACCTTTGCTTGGAGCAGTGGTCTTAGAAGCCACAAAAAGATCCACACAGGGGAGAAACCGTATAAATGCATGGAGTGTGGAAAGACGTTTACTCATGGTAGTGGACTTAGAAGCCACAACAAGATCCACACAGGGGAGAAACCATATAAATGCATAGAGTGTGGAAAGACCTTTGCTCAAAGAGGTCATCTTATTTCTCATAAGATGATCCACACAGGGGAGAAGCCGTATAAATGCATGGAGTGTGGAAAGACCTTTGCTCGCGACAAGAATCTTAAAAGGCACGAAAAGATCCACTCAGGAGAGAAACCATTTAAATGCATGGAGTGTGGAAAGTCCTTTGCTCATAGACATAAACTTACTGCCCATAAGATGATCCACACAGGGGAGAAACCATTTAAATGCATGGAGTGTGGAAAGACGTTTGCTCAAAGAGGTAATCTTATTTCCCATAAAATGATCCACACAGGGGAGAAACCATATAAATGCATGGATTGTGGAAAGACCTTTGCTCAAAGATGTCATCTTATTTCCCATAAGATGATCCACACTGGGGACAAGCCGTATAAATGCATGGAGTGTGGAAAGTCCTTTGCTCATAGATATAAACTTACTTCCCATAAGATGATCCACACAGGGGAGAAACCATATAAATGCAGGGAGTGTGGAAAGACCTTTGCTCAAAGAGTTCATCTTATTTCTCATAAGATGATCCACTCAGGAGAGAAACCATATAAATGCATGGAGTGTGAAAAGACGTTTACTCGTGGCAGTGATCTTAAAAGGCACAAAAAGATCCCACACAGGAGAGAAACCATTTAAATGCACGGAATCTGGGTAGTCCTTTGCTCATAGATATAAACTTATTTCCCATAAGATGATCCACACGAAAGAAGCCATATAAATGTATCGAATTCGGAAAGACCTTTGCTCATAGATGAAATGTTACTTCCCATTGAAATTATTTCCCATTGAAATTATTATTGTTATGTAGGAATTAAATACAAAGCAGGTTGACAATTAGAAACATTTGAAATAATTAACATAAAAAGTATAAATAAGCTAATACAAGAAGTGAGTTAAAATTATTTTGTTACACTTTCATTATTGTTGCTGGTATATATGTTGATATTTGTTTTTTCTTTTGCATTTTCGTAAATGACATGCCCTGACAATACACTGTATTCAAAATATTTATGAACAAAACATATACTCAAATAAAATAAAGTAAAATGCATGGAATGTAGAAAGAGTTTTGCTCAGAATGGTCATCTTATTTCTCCTAAAAGGATCCACGCTGGGGAGAAACTGTATATAGCAACAGCAATTCCACTTAGACTTATATACCACTCCACAATGCTTTACCACACTCTCTGAGCAGTTTACAAAGTCAGCTCATTGTCCCCAGCAATCTGAAAAGAAGTATATAGATTCTTAGACGGCTTGAGATGGTGGCAAGATTACAGATGAACAGAGTTGGGAGGGACCCTAGAGATCATCTGGTCCAACCCCATCGAAGTTCTCCGAGGAAAGGAGCGGGAAGCGGAGGAGAAACGGCCCAAACTTTATTCCGGGATCTCCATTCGAGGCTGCCTTGCAAGGAAACGGGGGGTCCTTCTGACCCCCAGAAGGAAGGAAAGGGGGGATTGGAGGGGCGGGAGACCGGAAGGACCCGCTTTCTCCAGACATTCTGAGCAAGGGAGACACAAGTTTCAAGGGGGGGATCGCCTTTTTCTCCCCCCAAAGCGAAGCGGAGCCTCTCCCTGGTTTAGCGGAGGGTTTTACCTCCCGTTTGGGGGGTGTCTGGGTGACCCCCGACTTCCCCCCCTTGTCATCTAGTGCAGCAGTTCTTCCAACAGCAGGAACCGCCCACAAAATGAACACGTGTGTGTGTGTGTGTGTGTGTGTGTGTGTGTGAGAGAGAGAGAGAGAGAGAGGAGGAAAATGACGGGGAGGAAGGGTTTTTCTTGCATTTATGAGCTGGGCGGAACCAGAACAAGCTGAACCACCAATGGGAATTCTTCCTGTTGAAGCGCCATCGGTGTCCAGGCAGAGTCCTTTATGACTTCACCTGAAGTGGGAGGAGGGCGTTCGGGGACAGAGGACGAAGCTGAAAGTGGGAGGGGGTATCCCTTCAGTCTTGGGGGGCTGCAGCTCAATTCTCAGCTTCACTTTCCTGTATGTGCATGGAGGGATAGACTAGCTATCCGCTGAGGTTCCCAAACTCCCCCCCCCCCCGTGGAGCCCGGTCCTTCTCGGAAAGGGGCCTCTTTCTAACTAACTCAGGGGAGGGTCCGTGATAGGGGGATTAGGGGGTGGGGGTCCTTGGTCCCCTCCCCAAATTCAGAGGCTCTCCCAGAAGGGATTTGAGCTCCCCTCTTGCTTGACTTTCAAAGCCTCAAATTTGAGATTCAGAAGAAAAAGTGAAGTTTCTGAAGGTGCCAAAATTCTTTCTTATGTATTTTGGTGGAATTTGTGGATTCAGGGCTGAAAATGACTGTTTCCCTCTTTCTCTTTCCACCTCCTTCCTCTTTGAACAGAAGAATATTTTGGGGACTCCGAAGTGATTTGGGCCTTACCCCTTTCCCAAAGTCTCTCCTGCGGGACCCAGCCCCCTTCTTCCCCCCCCTCCGCCCCCCAGCATCCATGGGTCCCTCCCAGCCCCTCCTTCCCGGGCGTCTCCTTCCCCCCTTTACTTCCAGAGTGCCACCCCCATCAACAGCTGGGGGAGCCCAGCAGAGCCCATGGGTGCTGCCCCACAAGCGCCCCCCCCCCCCCCGAAGAGAGCGACCTGGATGTTTCCACCTCCAGAAGCAGAATTGGTGGGTCTGGACTGAGTGGGAGATGAAGAGTTAGGAGAGCGAAGGTTCCTTCTTCTGACTTGTGGGCCTGCCCCCCTCCCCCAATGTTTCAGTCCCAGCTGGGTAGCATCTCCAGCGGAGTGGAGGGAAAAGGGTTAAAAAAGAGCTTCCTTCTCTCAGTCAGCATGGAGGAGCCAGAAGCAGAAGAACCAATCAGAATTCCCCGTGATGCAGCATCATCAGTCTCCAGGCAGGGTCTCTCTTGCTTTCACCCATTGGAGGAGGCAGTTGGAAGCAGAGACAGAAGCGGAGTTTCAATGACAATTGAAACAAGGCAGAATTGCAGAGTTGGAGGGGACCTCAGAGGTCTTCTAGTCCAACCCCTTCTCAGGCAGGAGACCCCTTTACCCTTCCCACCAAATGTTTCTCCTGTCTCCTTTTGGATGCCTCTAGTGATGGAGCAGCCACAACCTCTGAAGGCAACTTCTCTTCCGCTGGTTCATGGCTCTCACTGTCAAGAGATTCCAGGTTGCTTCTCTCCTTGTTCAGTTCCCATCAATTGGTTCTCGTCCTGCCTTCTGGTGCGTGGAGAGCAGGTGGACCCCCCTCTTCTTTGGGGCAGCCCCCCAGGTGTTGGAAGACTATTCTCATGCCACCCGCAGTCCTTCTCCACTAGACAAACCGTACCTGATTCCAATTCTTCATACCTTAAGCTCCAGCTCTCTAACCATCTTTGTTGCTCTTCTCTGTACTTCTAATCTTCTAGTTGGACGCCCAGGCCAAGGCAGGAGCCCGAGGGGGTCTTTCCTGCCAGCTCCATGCAGGAGTGGCTGGGGGGGGCAGAGGGCTTCGGTGTGGGGAGAGCCAATGGGGAGAGGGAGGCTCAGAGGCTGGAAGGGACCTTAGAGGTGTTCTAATCCGACCCCCTGGCCAAGGCAGGAGGAGCCCTTATCCCACCCCGGACAAACAGCTGTCCAGCCCCTTCTGGAAGACCTCCAGGGATGGAGACCCCAATTCCAGGTGGGGGAGGGGCTGCTCCATTGATCCATCGATTCTCCCGGTCAGGAAATCCCATTTTCCCTCCCAGGCTGATCAACCTTCTCCGGGCTTCGGCCTGTCAGCTGAGGGGCGATCCCTGGAGATAGTGCTCCACTCCGGGATCTGCTTCTGGGATCCCAAGTGAGCGAGGGAGAAGATCCCCAGGGCAGGAGGGGGACTCTTCCCCTCCAGGAAGGGTCGCAAGCGGAGTTTCCCCCCACCCAGAGCCCAGCCAAGACCCCCAATCCCCGCTTCTCTTCTGGGCCAAGCCCAGAATTTAGGCAGGTTTCCCGTCTGAGCAGCGGCTCTTCCTTGGTCCCCCTCCCCAATTCTCAGCCGAAGGACAAAGGACCCTCCCTGCAGTTTCCCCCCCTGGAAAACTTGAGGGCGTTTTTGTCTGCAACTCCCTCCAACTCTTGTATGTGCGTCCGTACAAAACTTCCTTTTAAGGGAAATATCGTTTCCAAATAAACACAGCTTTTCCCACCTTTCCAAATCTCTGCCTTGATTTGAAATAAACTTTTAAGCTCAATAAATCTGACAAACATTTTATGTTATTGAAGATCCAGATTCTCCTTTCCTGCTGTTTGCCAGGGAACCTCATTCACTCACTCACTCACTCACTCACACACACACACCCAAAGAGAGCTTCTTCCTCCAACCCCCATCGGCCGCAAAGGTGCTTGGGTTCCGCTTCCCCAGCCTGAAGCGCTGGGCTCCTCCAAAGCGTAACTGAGGAAGTGGCCAGAATCCAGCAGGCAACAAGCTTGGATTCTTCAGGGATTGTCCTCCTCCGCCCCATGGCTGAGCCTCCAGGTGGGGGAATAGAACAGAACAGAACAAAATAGATATTGGAATAAAGAATAGAATAGAATAGAATAGAATAGAATAGAATAGAATAGAATAGAATAGAA